AGTAGCAGTAGCAGTAGTAGTAGTAGTAGTAGTAGCAGTAGCAGTAGGCAGTAGCAGTAGCAGTAGCAGTAGCAGTAGCAGTAGCAGTAGCAGTAGTAGTAGTAGTAGTAGTAGTAGTAGTAGGAGCCCCCCCTACCAACGACCCTAGCTCTAAACCATGTCCAAGAACACATCCATTCTACTCGTTATTTGCGGTACTTTCGTAATGTCCTACCACTTCTTGTTGTCTCAAAGTCCACTTGTCAACTTTGCAAACTCCAGCTTCGGATTTCGGAAGGGTTCTGGGGGGTGGGGGGGTAGCGGGGAGCGGGTGGGGGTAATGACGACCCGCTTGCGCGCCCGTGCATTTTACTCGTTATTTACAGCACTTTCGTAATGTCCTACCACTGCTGGTTGCCTCAAACACCCATTTTTTAGTGCTTGTGATGATGAACATGACGGCTTCGGCCGGTCGTGTAGGAGGGGCGTGGCTACTACTAGTAGTGGTGGTATATGGTGGTGGTAGTAGTAGCAGTAGTAGTAGTAGTAGTAGTAGTAGTAGTAGGAGTAGTAGTAGGAGTAGCAGAAGCAGTGGCGGTAGCGGTAGCGGTAGCGGTAGCGAAAGCGGTAGCGGTGGTGGTGGTGGTGGTGGTGGTGGTGGTGGTGGTGGTGGTGGTGGTGGTGGTAGTGGTAGTGGTAGTATGAGTAGTATGAGTAGAAATGCCAGCAGCAGAAGTACTTGTTGTTGTTGTGATTGCTGCTCCTCCTGCACTGCTAGCGCAGGGCAGCTGCTACTTCTGTTGGTGTAGTCACTCGTGTTGCTGTTACCTTTCTGCAACTCGTATGGCATGCCATATGGCGCGGTCGGATGCACACCCGACAGCCGGTAGAGGCCCAGCAAGTGCTTAACATCGCGAGGAAAGCTCCGAAGAACTATAAGAACTAAGCATGGCTGGAGGATGCCATTCCTACGCTGAAGACTGACACGGATGCAAATCGGCGGCACTTTTGCCTCCACAAACAGATGTAGCTGCTGCAGATTGCACGGCACAAATTGATGGCCAGGCCTGGCTCATGGAATCCGTTGGGAGGAGCCATCAGAAGCCATCTGTTGCGGCCTGTGAGACCCATCCTAGCCCACAAGAGGTACTACTCGCATTCTCTCTGCAAGGCTTCGAAAAGTCGGGAACCAACCGGACGGCAGCTGCACATGGCTGGATAGGATGTGGCTCGGAGCTTCCTAAACTAGTGAGTTACTGGGCTTAAGCGAAGGATGTCAACTCAGCACGACGTCTTGCCAATTCGTCTCGACAGTGGAGAGTGCATGCTTCGAATCCCCAGCACTATGTCTCCAGTGCCGAATCGTTTGCATGCTTTCATCTGCTTGCATCTGCCGCATGCGGATGATATCGCTCAACACACAGCGTAGCTTGTCTGTTCCCAGTGAGCTTTCTCGAGCAAAACCACTCGACGTGACTGCAGAAGCACTTGCAGAAGCCCAGGACTTTCGACTCCGACACCTCCGGAGCCATGTAGCGAGGCGAGCCGCCGTTGTTCTTCTTCGTGATGTGCGTCCTTTCCTGGCAGCCAATCTCGCACTGAGAAGCGAACAACGAGCAGCCCGGGCCCACCATCGGTCCGGTCAGTCCGAAGTCACCCTAAACCCTAAACCCTAAACCCTAAACCCTAAACCCTAAACCCTAAACCCTAAACCCTAAACCCTAAACCCTAACCGTGCCGGGCCCACCATGGATTCGGTGAGTCCGAAGTCACAGAGCTTCAGGTTCAGGCTGAGGTCCAGGACAACGTTCAAGCTCTGCCATGGCGACACTCTGAAGGCCGGAGTCCATCCTAGTAGTCCCAATAATCAAGATACTCGGAATAATCATAATAATGGTCCTAATAGTCCCAATAATCAAAACACTCAGAATAATCATAACAATAGTCCTAATAGTCCCAATAATCAGAATAATCATAAGGCATAAGAATCAAAACCAATAGTTAATCACAGTAATTCGCAGAACTCGCCAAAACCGAGTGCCAGCACTTTTGCCTTCAGGTCCCGGTGCACGACGATAGGATTCTGCGAGTGGAGGTAGACGACCCCTTCTGCCAGCTGAAGGCACCTGGATCGCCCGGGGATCTATGGAGAATCCAAGCACTCGTCGACCTTGGATCTTTAAGGCTGGTGCATATTGGTGCAGTGGAGCAGCCTCGGCCAGTGAAACCAACTTCCGGAGCCACTGTTACAACTGACCTGCTGAGCAACGGGAGCTGCAGTTTGCGAACATGCAGGAGGTGATGAAGGGACCCGCCGGGGGCATACTGCAGATCAGGGAAGGGATGTTTCAGAAACCGAGCTTCCAAAGTCACAGGAAAGCACAGCCAACTGCCTCTGTGACGATGCACCTTTGTCAGTCACATAGCCGCCTTCGACTGCCGTTTTTTAGACCGTGGCAAGCCGAGCTTGCGACAAGTTGGGTATTTCCAAACACGCACCGATGAAGTTCACAAGGCGCTTGTGGCGCAGATGCCTCAAGAGGAAATTGTGTCAGTGGTGCGTTTCATGTACCTGTCCACACTATATTATACACCAGGTCTTGCCTAAACGACTCGATTTCGCGAGTGAGGTCCTGGATGATCACCTGCGCTGCACCCATTTTCGTGATCCCAAATAAAGGGACGAACAAGAGCCTTTGACACTTTTTGAAGTTGTGCGACGGTGATTGTGAAACTGTGTATTCAGGACAGTGTGCACCTGTTTTCCGAAAGCCACTGCTGGACTCCTTTGCTTTCTTTTGTCGCAACAGGCAGCAGAAAAACCTGGAAGACAGCAGCTGCGGCTGCTAGAACGCCGGTAGAGTTCCGACCTGTGGCAGGACCGTGTTGTCCCAGTAGAGCTGCTTGATGGCAACCTGTGGTCGCGTAAAGCTCTGTCAGGGTGCACCAATCTGCCCAGGGAGCCTCCTGCCCTTTGAAGAATCCACGGAAAACCTGCCCGAACTCGCCAGAACCTTTTTCAAAGGTCTTCGCAACGGGCCAATCGCAAGCTGCGTGCCGACCCTCAGGTCCCAACCCAGGTGCTCAACAAACTGCAGCTCACGATAGGCTGGCAGGATCACTTCGAGAGTGCTGAGTGGCGGCTTTTGCATGAAGGTCGTGCCGGTGCCTAGCCGCTCGTCGGTTGTAAGCTGCCCACGACTCTTGGGTAAGCTCCCCTGCAACACATGCAAGACATGCACCACAGCACCTGACCATTGTCAAAATGACGAAGCCTGTGGCTTTGCGGACCGCTCATCGCGGAAATCCTAAGTGGTAGGTACACTGCTTCAAGGTGCCTCCAGCATGCCCGCTTCAAGCTGTATCGGGTGGTGCACCGCATCATCATCTTCCAAGCCAGGCCACACCGATAACCTTCACAGAACTTTCTGCATACACCTGGCACATGTCACTGCACCGCCAGTAAGTCGCCGGCAGTGTCGCATCTGCCGGTGCTGATGAGTTCATTGGCCGCACCTTCTTCGAGAGCTGAATGCTCGCAGGGTTGATTTTATAACAATGCTGTGCACTGGCCATAAACGTTCTGTCTGAAGGCGCAACACTGGGGATGATCAGCATGCCAGCTTCGTCCGTCGCAGGAACCTCAACAGCTGAAAGACATCCGTTCAACGAGCCTCAGATGACCGAATGAGGCTCGAGCTCCATGTTCTAATCGAGGAGGCCCGGATCCTGCAGATGTGGATTCCTCTCATTAAGGTTCTTCTGGCGGGGTTCCGAGCATTGCTCATCGGAATGGGGGGATGAAAGTGAATAACAAGCAAGCAGGCAGGGGCTCACCAAGACCAGCAGCAGGTGCCGTATTTGTGCTTCCATTGGGCACGGCCTTGCGCGATGGTTCAAGACAGCCCTGGCAACACTCTCATAAATGGGGGTTTCCGAAAATAGGGGACCTTAATATAGTACTCTAAATAGTAAGACCCTTATTATAAGGACCCCCAAATAAGGTACCCCGAATGTTTTGAAACTCCCAAATGGAGCGACCTCGCGAGCAGAAAGCAGCTCTGGTCGCGGTAGCACACCTTCACTTCCAAGGCTTTGAAGGATGCAGGACGTTGCAGGACTCCGCTTGGACCGGCACATGCACTTCTGCGGTTTGCAGGCGGCAGCGCTGCCTGGAGCATCTCTCGGCCAAAACACCTCTCAAGGGGCCTGGGCAGTTCGAGCCTGGCCTGCGCAGGTCTCGCTACACAGGCACCCGAGACCTGCCGGGTCGACAGTCCGCGGGAAACCGCACGAAGCTCGAAAAAGCCTGGCCTCTGGTGGAACATACACGGTTGGAACCCGGCCAGTCCACGGTGCGGTCCTGCGGCTGTGCAGTCTCAGCTTGGACGAGGGCAGCTTGCATTTTGTGGCACTCCTCGTGTAAGTAACCTGGCATGGAGATGCGAAGGTGTCTACCACGACCGCCGCCATAATACAATGCCGGCAAGAAGCACCGAGCAGAGATTATAAGGCATCGACAGGCCACGACTTGCCGTTAATGGCATCGGTAGCGACATGGCCTGTCGAGAGCAATGCAAATATCGCAAGCTTTCGGCACCTTCCTCGACCCGTACGACTACCAGACTTTGCGAATCAAGATTAGGCACAGTACCCTCCGCAGCGACAGCCGGTCGTATCTGCGCAGTCGCAAGACGGTCCAGTCAAGTTCGTGCAAGAGAGATTGCGCAGATATAGTACGAAAGACCAAGCAGACCTGGCTGGCAGCGTCTTTCCGAGGCCTGGTTCGTTGCTACACTCCGTCAATATCTGACGGTTCAAGCTGGTAGCAAAAATATCTGGGGCAGCTTCTGCCCGACGCTGACTGCCGGAGACACTCTCATCGGTGCCTCACGGAATTAATACACACGCCTCGCATGACGAGATGATCAACCTCCACGGCTGAGCGGATGGCGTCACATGCATATGGATAGGCTTGTTGCACCTGCGCGACCTGCGAAAGGGAGCAAGGAAGCGGGTCGGTCATATGGTGTGGAAACAGAAAGAGATGGCAAGTACAGACAAGGGCCAAGATGCAGACGCAGATACAGAGACACACACACGGACACTGACATGCACGGAGAGAGAGAGAGAGAGAGAGCTAGAGAGACAGAGAGAGAGAGAGAGAGAGGAGAGAGAGAGAGAGAGAGCGTGGCGTCATTCAGCCGGCCTGTGGCCTCCACACTGTCGGTGCATGGACCGTCTTGGTGGTCACCTGAAACATAGCAAGACTACAGATCAGGATAAGCGTAGCCGGCGTTGATGGTAGTAGTCGTCAACAGTAGTACAGTAGTAGTAGTAGTAGTAGTAGTAGTAGTAGTAGCAGCAGTAGCAGTAGCAGTAGCAGTAGCAGTAGCAGTAGGAGTAGTAGTAGTAGTAGTAGTAGCAGCAGCAGTGGCAGTAGAACTGCAATATTATTTTTATTACTACTATTACTACTATTACTATTACTATTTCTAGTACTAGTACTATTGCTATTACTATTACTATTATTAGCTTGTGTGAGGAAGCCTCCGGTTTAAGCTTTCATTACACCAGTGGTGATTACAGGCACGCCAGATTGCAGGCGTTATCCTGGAGCTGGCCCGGTCCCAAATCCCGGCGGGGACACAACACTTGCATACACTTGCCAAGCAAATAGTTACTACTCCTAAGCGTGAGGGTTCCCGTCTTCTGCGGGGCGGGGGGGTCTGATCTGCTTGCATTTCGGGCGAAACATCGCAGATGGCACAAGGCTATTTCATGTTTGCACTCTTTGCAGAGAAGATCTTTTGTTTCTTATATTCAGCTTATCCCACCATGCCAAGAGACTGGAATAGGCTCATGAGTCCCTGTTGCACGAAAGGCAGATCTCTGTAATGCCCTTAAGTCTGCGCCTCTGGTCCTCAGAAGCTGATTTCGGATGGCGCTGGCCAATGTTTGTACTTAGTCCGGTATTGCTCACAAACCACGCTGTTGTCAGCTTGGATGTTTGTATAGTTCTAGTCTTTTCTGAGTCCAGGGAAGGCAGTAGTAGTAGTAGTAGTAGTAGTAGTAGCAGCAATAATAATCTTTTCTTCTGTAATAAAACTAGTAGTAGTTGTAGTAGTAGCAGCAGAGCAGCATCATTAGCAAGCGGCTTTTCTGCTGAACTGAGGCATATACAACACGAGGTGCTGGATGTGGCATTGGACCTTGTGCCTTGCCGCACCGCTGAGACCCAGGTGTTCTATCCCTTTGGTTCATGCAGCAGACTCCTTGCCTGCGCTATCTGCATCTGTGGCACCGAGGGCTGGTACACCAGCTGAGGACCTGGGGAGCCCACCGTGCACGAACCGCAGTGGAGGCGCAGTCATCGAGAAAATTGGTAGCAGGCCCCTCATCAGCCCAGGCCGCTGTCACTTCGAAAGAACATTGCGCAGACTGCTTCGAGTTGTGAAAGAAGGACGCTCCTCTTAGTTCTGGTAACCGGCACAGCAATGCTGCAAATTTCCACATCCGTCCGAACTGGTGAGCTGCAATGGTTTATACTCTAAAGTTGGCGGCTTGCTTGGTTGAGTCGCACAGCTTTGCTCTTGTCAAGCATGTGCATACAGCCATAACAGGCTTTCGGACCGTTCCAGTCGCAGCAAGAATCGTGTTCGATGGGCAGTGCTCAGTCTCTCAAAGGAACACGCTGAAAGAGAAGAATTCTCGCTGAAGACCTTTTCCCAATATCCGGCCTTTGCCACAAACGTGGGGAGCTAGAGCAGGCACGGTGAGACATGGTGAGACCGCTCAAGAAGAAAATCCTCGCCAAGCAATGGAAATTAGTAAAGCCAAATGTGGCCGAATCCAAAGGCGCTATCACTATCAAAATGGATCTAGGTCAGGGAGGTCTACGTTCAAGGTGTCGAGAGGTTTGTATTTCGCCCCCTCGTCCAGCAGAGCTGTCACCTGATCCACGAGCAAAGCAAGCGTAGGAAGAATCTGGGTGCACGATTGTGATCTGATCAGAGATGCAAGAAGCGACCCAGGCATGTAGACAACTCCGTGTTGGCACCTGCCTGCTCCCTCAAACCGCAACACCAGGCCTCCTCATGGCGCTTCCAGTTGGACTCCGCGCAAGGAACTTTTTTGTAAATTTCGGGTAGGTCCTCATTGCGAGGTCACGCGAGCTGTAAGATGTCTGTGTCTCAAGCAGTCGCAAAGGCAGTCACTCGCGATGACCCGGGTCCTGTTCACCCTGTGTAATCCAAGGTGGTGGAAGGTCGCAGGGCCTGGGCAGGGAAAAGAACGCTTCTCAGATGAAATTCGAGGAGTGACATCATATCGTTTCTGTTCTGCTCCAAGGGCATTCTATCGTTGTTGAATCTGGCACAGGATCCCCAAAGTGGATGCTCATCCGGCCGTGCGGGAGTTTGCATGTTGCACGCTGTTGGGCACGATCGCGTCCTCTCTGAACAGACAACAGCCGAGCTGCAGCATCATGCTCAAAAGAAGCATTGCTTGCTTCCAGCTGTTGCCAGGTTGCTGTGAACCTTTTCTGAAGACTTTGTTGTCGCACTCAAGCTCAACTCCCGGCCCGGACGCACCCGGATGCCTCACAGAGCCTCACACACTACAGTAGTCTGTGTTGAACTTCGGGGTTGGAGAAACAGGACATGTGAAAGACGTGCCCGTGGTTCCCTTGTCTGGGTTCTATCTGCTGGGGTGCGTCCCAAGCAGTCTTCTTTAGACATCAAGCCCAGACTGTGTCTGGACAACACGCACGGACATGCCGCAGACGGATTCCCCGGCAAGAATCAGATGATAGGATCCACGGATGTTTTGCAGAAGGTACGGAACTCCTTGCATGGGACTGCCTGACAGAACCGCTAAAGACTGCTGAGGTGTTTCTGCGGTGCGGTGCAGTGATACCACCGCTGATTTAGCGTCGTGAGGGTTCTGATCTTTGCTTCTCTTCGAGACGGCCCTTCCAAGTGAACCCAACTTCAATGCTTCCTCTCCAAAGCACCCAGAAGCTTAAGGTGGCCACCTGCAATTAAACTTGAAAAATGAAGCAGTTGCATATGCAAGTCCGGATGCGACTCTGAGGTGGCCACGGATGCAGGTTTTTTGCATACTTGTACGCCAGGACATTGCCTGCAGCGGCAGAGTATCACTCACGGGAGCTGGAGACTGAAATCAAGGACGTCGCCAACTGGAGGGAAGTAGTTGGCAACACCTCAGTCAGAAGAGTCTGTGTAGCCGACTGCAGCCAACGATGCCATCTGAGGACGATGACAGTACCTGCCGTTTGACGACAGCGCCATCCCGACCTTTGCGTCGATCGCACTCTGTGTGGTGTTGACATATGGACTCGCTGTAGTCTCAGAGACCAAGGCGCTGACCGAACACGTCCCTGCCCACATCATTTGAATGAAGTTGACGCAACCCTTCTGCGGGCCAGGATGATGGAAGTCATAATGCTCCTCACAAGTATCGCAGTGTCCCGCATCAGACACAGTGCAATTCGGAGCAAATCCCCCCGGCCCCGGTCCAGCTCGCTGTACCACTGAGTCACCACGTGTTCCGCAGCGGCCTGGTCCCACTTCAACTCCTTCCTTGCAGAAGCACTTAGCAACTAGGGTTATAAGTAAGGTAACTATACTTATAATTACTTATAACCCCAATCAAGGTACTTATAACCATGATCCTCTCCAAGCATGAAGCTATGAAAAGCAGACGCCTTCCCTGCTCTCGCAAGATGTCCTCGAAGGGCCCAGGGAGTTTTGCCCATGGCGGCCACTTAAGCTTTCCACGAAGTTTTTGGTCCTCGGCCGCATTCGGGCTTGTCCCCTCGCTTCTAATCGGAGGGGGGACTGGGACAAGGACAGTCGACGATCTGCAGTTTCACAGGCTTGGGCCTGCATCCTCCAAACATGGGAGTTTCCGAAAATTAGGGATACCTTATTTTGGGGTCCTGATAATCAAGGATCCTACTATTTAGGGTACTATATTAGGGTCCCCTATCTTCGGAAACCCCCACATAAGAGACAAAGCAGGCGTCTTGGCTTTCACAACTTCTCGACTCACGCTCCCGCCTGGCGTGCTCATAGCACTCCTGGCTCCAGACCTTGCAAGGCGATGCAGCAAGAGGGGTTGATGATATTAAGATATATATGATATATGAACTAATAGAATCCTAATCCGCAAATATTAAGAAACTCATTTAAAGATGAATTATTATTGCATGCTGGGAATTGCTTCCAATGCTAGTCTTGGACAATGGCCAGGGGAGGCGTCCAGTGAGCCGCCCGTCTTTCGTTGTGAAGCAGGAGCACCGACTGAATCCATGCCTGGCGACGCTGTGCACCGAAAGCCCACAGCTGCAAAGCGGAGTCGTAAACCCCCTAAACCCTAGACCCTAAACCCTAAACCATAAACCCTAAACCCTAAATCCTAAACCCTAAACCCTAAACCCTAAACCCCCTGTTAACAGCTTGGTCCCCAGCTGCAGGAGCATTCTTGTCGTCGCCCTCTGGCACAAACTCAGTTGCTGCTGCAACCGCAGCCTGCTTGCCTCAAGACGAGGAGTCTCATTACAAAGGGACTAGTTGAAGGCTTAAGGATGTAGAATGATTTGAAGATCACAGTCGATCCCGAAACTGCCCGAAACCCCCGTCCTGCTTGCTTTCGGCCGTTTGGCGACTTCTTCGGCGAACGCCTACTCGGAGAAGTCGGTGAGCTGGCCCCGCTTTTCGGGGAGCTTTTTGGAGATGCCATGTCTGAAAGCGGTCAGCTTCGAGACGTCCCTCGTCTGCAGCCACAAACCGAGCTCTGGCCTGGACTGGGTTACGTTGCCCATGCGCGCCGGCGACACTTGGGGGGTTTCCGAAAATTAGGGGTACCTTATTTTGGGGTCCTTATAATAAGGATCCTATTATTTAGGGTACTATATTAGGGTCCCCTATTTTCGGAAACTCCCACTTCGACGTGCGACCCAGGAGCGGCTTTTATTCAAGGTGCACCCCTCACGCGCTTTGCTGAAGCCCTGCCCGGAACATTGTTTGACTTGATGAAGTCGGATGCTGAACCGTGCGCTCTGTAGTTAAAATGATCGAAGTGACGTGGTGGCCGCTTTGGCTCTCTGCAAGCAAACTCAACCTTGAGCATCCGCTTGCACATGCTCCGTCTCACAACTGCTTCAACAAAATGTGGGTGGTTGTCAAAATTATGGTCCCTGTTTGGGTCCTTATTATAATACGGCACCCTTATAAAAAGGACCCCAAACGGGACCCTAATTTAGAAAACTACCCATGTGAAAGTCGTCAGCAATTTTTGGTCCAAGCGAATCAGAGCCAGCGCAAGTCAGTGCGAGAGCGCGAGGCGAAAGGCTTGCACTAGTAGACCTGACCCAGAGCCCACAGCACAGGCACAGGAAATGCGACTGCACGCTCTTCATTCACAGCCCCCACCCACTCTTGGCAAGCCTGGTTTGGATAGCTCAGATAGCTGGGCTGGTAAAGCGGGGCTTGCATTTGGAGCTGCTGAGAGTAGTACTGCGGCACCTCGGGCGCAGCTGGACATCCGCGAAACGCTGAAGCACATCCACAGAGCTCGCCAGAGTTTCCGAAGGGTCTTCAGCATGAACAGCTAGATATGGACTTAGGATCTAGCAGCTAAGATAGCGATGATGGATGCAAGTTCAACTCCGCAAGTTGTCTTAGGCCTGTCCGTAAGCTTCTAGAAATCTGCTTGATGTCTTCGGTGTCCTGGCCGGATTCCGATGCTCGCAGGTGACCCAGAACTTGGATGGCTGTTGTCGGATGCCTTAAAGAAATGCAGCTTAGCTTACAATCAATATCAGCGCGATTGGTCCATCACGTCTTGCGAGCTTTTGACTTGGCTTTCTGGTAGAATCGATCGGGCAGCGGGGTTCGCCGTTGCAACATTTTCTTGCGACTCCCACGACCGATCAATTTCAGCGAGTCATGACTGAAGCCTCTCCGAAATCCGGACAGGCACTGGAGGTGCCGCGATCCATGCCGGCTGCGCGGGGTTCACCAGAGGACCTCGAGACCCAGGCATATCAAAGCGCCTCAAGCAAACGAATGCAAACATCTCCGCTCGGGCTCATACCTGGCTCCACTAGTGGCATTTGGTCACTCTGAGGGATCTCCAGGTCGGCTTCAACCTCAGAGCTTTTCATCAGAGCTGACAGGCAACATAGACTCTCCGCGCCTTCGTCCCGCGAGAGGTCTTCCCTCTTGCTCGCTTCTCGCCTGTCCCGGAAGAACACTGCTGGGTTTCACGCGGCTCACACGAAGCCAGCTTCGCAGTCTGGTCCTGCTGCACACCAGTAGACACCCACCAGCACAGCACCAACCGCGCATCCTCCTGGTCGCAAGAGCCGAACTTTTCATTTTCCAGGACTAGAAACTGCCATAAACTTGGCCATGCGGACGTCAGAAAATGTGGAAACCCTGCCCCCGGGCTCCCAGCAGCCACGCCCACGGGAAGCCCGAGCTCGGGGTCTCTTCGGCCACGGCGCTGTCCGACACGGCCTCCTCCCGCGCTGAGACGGCGGGCTCCTCAGACTTCACCACGACGCCGGGATACTGCCGCAGAGGGTTCGGCTCGATCTTCCCCGCGGTGCCGGGAAGTAGGTGGTCGCAGTCTTCGGGCCCGCTAATCACATCTTCTCCATGTCCCGTTGAATCCACCACGGCGGTGCCTAACATCCAGCAGTCCTCAAAGGGCAAGGAGCGCCTTCTCTCCTCGCAGCTCTCAGCCGCCGGCCTTGGAGTCTTTGTAGTAGGTGAAAACGGTGCAGTCCGGGTTGGTCTCGCAGTACATCTGGCACCTCTTGTGCTTCTGAGCGTCTTCGGGGACACACTTGACTCAAGTTGAGGCGTGCACGCCAATGCGTCGTAGGGTTTGCCTCCATTGGGCTTTGTAACTTCAGGGTCCTGCTCAGGGCTCTGGCAAACCTACACAAAGTGCTGGGAGATGAAGGAGCTAACGGTCCTTGTATGCCGTACCTTTGATAGCACATGGCGGGACTGCAGACCGCACAACCTCACGAGCTTCGTTGACGGCAGAATGTGTCCGAGGTGCGACCAGTGATTCAAGCTGAGACCGTCGCTAGCGAGGGCAAGGCCACCAACACTAGTCTGAATATCATGACCCACGGACCAGACCTCCAGAGCTAAAAGCACAGGAGACTGGAGCCAATATCTGAACGCCGCAAGTAATCTGATCTGTACAGATCTGCAATGATGGCACAACCAGCATGCTGCGACATGCCTACATGTGCAAACGGCAGCATCTAATTAATCGCTAATTTGCGATGAAGCATCTAAGGATGGAAAATTACCCTTTCGAAGTGCTCGCTGGACTTTTTTCAAGGGGAAGCATCACACTCCTCGCTGGTTGCAGCTTCACCCGTTGCTTTTTGTCTTGATTTGCGGCGCTGCTCCTTTGCAAGTGCTCCCTCTGGTTACCGACAGCAGCAGTGAAGGAAAGGTCCTTGCGATGCAACAGCTGATTCCTCCATGTTGTCCCGAAATTTCCGGAACGCACCTGCTCAGTAGTTCCACGATTCGAAGCAGAAGTGCAAATCTCGAAACCTTGCTCCCCTGCCTCTTCAAGCTCCACGCCGAGATCAAGGAGGCTGTCGCACATCCTCATACGGATAGCGGTAAATCTGTTCATGCCATGCCCGTCCGCGAACCTCCGGGCAATTTCCAGCGCAGCATCAGGCTGCGCTAATCTTCGCCTCAAGCCATGCTCGACAATCTGGCGACACTGATTCGATCCTGGAGTTGATTTGCATCTGGGCTGCGCGTTCTCGGACATCCTTTCCAAAGTGGGCGGGTCCTGCAAAAGCATGCAACAGCCCCGGCATCTTGTAGTAGAACCACGTGGCAAGCAGCCTTCAACCACTCTTCAATCTTGGATGCCACAAGATGTGGATCCTGGCATTGGCTTCGACACGGCTGAAGATGACACAGAGCATCCCTAGGTCACCTCATCCGAGACGTAGGCACCCGCACCATTGTCGGTGACCTGGCAGAAACATCCCACAGGCCTTGGATGCTTCTTGAAGCTTGCTTCTTGAAGCTTCCACCCTAAACCCTAAACCCAAAGCCCTAAACCCTAAACCCTAAACCCTTCAACTCGCAGGGTCGGCATAGCTGATATTGCCTTCCTCCTGGCCAGGCACGAAAGCCGTCAGAAGGCATGGCAGACCTGGGCGTCAAATAGGGGGTACCTTATTTTGGGGTCCTTATAAATAGGGCTCCTACTATTTGGGGTACTATATTTAGGGTTTAGGGTTTAGGGTTTAGGGTTTAGGGCTTCCTCTTGCGTCTCGCTGGCCTTTGATCATGCTCTCGGCAATGGATCCGGGTCCTGCCTGCCCGAGTGGCACGGAAGCCGGGCTGGGCGGCAGCGATCAATCACCCTGCCTATAATCATGTCACCAAAGAAACTCGAGTAGACATGAATACCGAATTTGGTACATATATGTGCAAATATACATACATACACACATGAGCATTGAGGACCCTCACAGTGCTACTGACAGCGAAAATTGAAGCAGGAATGACCGCACGCCTTCGTCACCAGACAGTCCGCAGCTGTCATGTACCTATCATCACAAGTGCACATCCACTCGCCATACCCTGGCACAATAACGTCGCACTGATCCACGTTTGTGACGAAACCCAGAATCAAGGGTTCGAAAAGCCATTCCTGCAAACAGAGGCCGGCGCAAGCTCACAACATGCGCGTCAACAAGAGAAGTTAGGACCACGGACGGGAAAGGCTCATGTGTTTTGGCCGTATGACCGTATGACGCTACCTTTATAAGAGGAAGCAAGCGTCGCACGTCGTTTTCAGCGGCATGGTGCCGCGCATGATCAGCTTTCATCTCGAGACGCGGCGATGCTTTCTGGTCGCTGGAGCGCTTGCCTGCGGGGGAGCTCCCCCGATACTTCTCAAGGTGCTCAAAGTTGCGGACTTTGTCGGAGCTCCCCCGATACTTCTCAAGGTGCTCAAAGTTGCGGACTTTGTCGGTTCAGAGCGCTTGCGTTCTCCCTGCCGGTTGTCTAGCAAGCCAGGGGCTGCCGATTGGTCAGGAACAGCTCCATCTTTACGATTCTGGCAGCTCCCTCAAGAACCTAGCAATGCCACGTTTAGGGTTTAGGGTTTAGGGTTCAGGGTTTAGGGTAGCAATACCATGGTATACGAAGGCGCAGCATAGTCATGTTTCAAGGTCATCGGCAGATCGTGCTCTAAAACTCTCCAGTCCCCAAAGCCACGGGGCGTCCAGCGCCGCCTGGAGTGCATGGGGAGGGAGAGCTAATTCCGAATACAGTGACATAACACCGGACATTCGTAGCACACTATAACATGCATATGATCACTGGTGTTCATGTCAGGTGCTATCACTTTTCCCCACAGGGCACTTTACTGATGACAACCAGTTAGTGAGTGGCCGGCATGGTAGACTTTAAGACTTTCAATACAGAGTTCGGAATGTCTCTGATCAGTCCCAGTGGCTCCACCAGGGCTTTCCGGACCTGAGACTTTTCATGGGTGCAGGAACACTCTCCTTCCTCTCCATGACCACGCCTCTTCGTTCCGACCACAAACAACCACAAGCTGTCCATAACCAAGGCCTCGAAATTGAAGTTGTGTTCTTCGGCTTGACATGTGGCACGGAGAACCAACTGGGGGAGCTGCCGATCAACGTGTCGCCGATGGCGCAGGCTACCTTATTACAAGATACCGATCCAGCTGATGAAGCAGTTTCTGCCTGCCCTTATGCCTTGCTCTGCAGTCATGACAGTGACACCAAGCGGCATCCAAGAGCTTCCCGAAGCCCTCACCACCTCCCATGAGAAGCACAACCTGACGGCAGCCGCATCAGGCTCCAAAACCCCTAGACAAACGTTGATGCCTCAGGCCGTTCAGTGGGTCGAAGTCCCAACTGAGCCTTTCAGCTACAGCACAGTGTCTTCAGAGATGCGGGTTTCTCAGCAACTATGATCAAGTATGTGCAGTTGACCCGCCAATGAGGCAGCTAGCCAAACGCGCCTGCAGCTGGCGCTTTTGGTCAGGAGACACAGGATCGGCACACCAAAAGCCTGCTCAAAAGGGGTATGACACCCAGACATCGAAAAGACTACCATGACAACTAAAGATTTAAGTAGTTGTATTTCGGTTTCCGATGCCCGAGTTTGAAGGGAAGGACGGGACGGATGCGACGGGATGGCACGCGACAGGACGGAACGGCCGGACAGGAAGAGCGGGACGGGACGGGCCGAGACGGAACGGCGGGACGGGACTGGGACCTGGTCATGGAGTACTTGTCGATGTCATCTTTCGATGTCATCAAGTGCTTTGAATTGTTTTCAATATCCGGGCGTACAGACCCCATGAATGCCGGTCGTAGATGCTAAGACCAAAGTATGCTCTAGCTTTCGATCCTGCATACACAGCGCCATGCAAAAGACGTGTCACGAAAGACCACCATACCGAATCGCATGCATGCACACATACATGCATGCATAAGTGTAGGTATGTATTTCTATATGTGTACCGAGAGAGAAAGAGAGACATAAACACATACATGTATGTATATCGAAGTAATATAAGCATATATACATACCAACGCATAGGGAGGGAGAGAAACGTATATATGTATGCAGGTATATAAATATATATGTATATGTCTATATGTACATATACACATATACATATGTATATATATATATATGCGTGTATGTGTATATATATATATATATAAGATATTGTGACCTTTCAGCCCACAGTATGTTACGTGCGCATACAAAGAGAAAGGAGCGTGCGCAGACTCAAACTTGAATCACATGTGTCAAGTTAGAGCTGCCTTCCCTCAGCGGAAGGCCACACAAGTGGATCTTCCTGGCAGTCACGTTGAAGCAACGCTACCGGTCGTAGGCTTCGGGGACGTCAGCGGCAAAGCTGAGCTCATACGACACCAAGGGTGCCAAGGCACTGATATAGATGCAGTAATGAAGCGAGCAGCCTGCTTCACAAAGTGATGACCGGTCCTCCTCGGCACTCCTCGTTTGATGGCGGCTTGGTAAATTTCCTGCACGGTTACCGCTGCGTGATGCGAGTCAGGGCAGCTCTACTTCCATGACATCAAACATTAGGGAGGCATCCTGACTCGGGACAAACAACATGTCGGCGCGCGGGTCAAACCTGTGCCAGCTGCAACTGTAAGTCGCGGTGCATCGACAATACCTCTGCAAATCTCAAGTAGGCTGCCAACCAGGATAGATGCGCAGATCCCAAGTCTGTCACCTGAGGTGCGCCCCAGTCCCAGGCTGCCTAAAGATCCGGACGTCTGAGGCAAGTGCAACTGTGACAACCGGCAGGCACAAGTCCTGGAAGAAAAGGCCAGAACAGGCAATGACATCACACTGTCAACAACCCAGGCCTGGCGGCTTGCGGGTGGTTGGGAACCTCGAGGGACACTACAATCTACGAGTAGCCCCCTTCTGCGATTCTGAAAGCGGACATTTGCGATCAGAGTAGGTCAGACAAACTTGGATCAGAGAGTTTCTGTGCTCCCATCCGCCCCCACGAAAGCTGCTGTCTCCACCACAGATGTTACAGACAGGCAGGGAAATGAAGAGCCCGAGGACAGTTGCCCAATGGACATGAGGTTGCACAGTCAAACGAGATTGCCGAAGAACATGAAAAAAGACACTGTCAAGTTTCACACTTCAACTACCGTGCCGAGCTCATCTTCTCTACAACCAGCCGAACAAATCGACAAGCTGAATCCGGCATGGGTCGTCGTCTGGGCTTGGTACAGAAGCATACAGCCAAAACTCACACTACGAACCCGCCTCGAGCAAGTTCTTCCAGTCCTTCAATCACCACGTGGTGAATCCTGCCGCCCGAACACGGGCCCATCTAACAAAGAGTCCCAGGTCGGGTCTTAGCACCCGGCAGTGGATGAACAGAGATGATGAGGTCTAAATCCAACGCAGCCTGCTCTAAATAACTGAGGACTGACCTGAAGCTGCAAGGCAGCGAGCAGTGCTGACAATCGAAATCCAGTGAGCTCGCTGGATCTGGCTTGCTGTGATCCGCACTCCCGGCAGTAACTCCACATCATCTTGTAGCCTTTGTCAGAATCACCGACAAGAGAAGCACACCATGTGAGAGGATGATGTGCCCACTCGCAATAAGGCTGCCGCCAAGTGATACTGAAAGGGAACGACGGGTGAAAAAACCATGCTCCCAATTGAGGCAGGGAACTCGTAGTGTCGCACCATGTCTCGCTGTCTTGGTCATAGTCCCAGGCCTTGGATGGGGTACACTTGCATCACCTCCTCGACAGTAACCTTGAAAAATGTTAAAACAAACCTCTCTTATAAGGATGCGGCGCGTTTGTACACCGATGGGAAGTGACCCAATGTCTGCCATGCAAAGCTCGCACGGCACACAATCTGAAACATGTCGCATCCGATGCCTGGTAGGTTTCTGGTGCCTGCGACCTGCCAGAACGAAGGTCAAATGCTGTGCACGCAGGCTCTGAAACAGGTCTATGCTTCGCATCCGCAAAGGAGTCGCATCTTGGGCATGGGCAGTGGCCACGGCATTGCATGTCTTATGAAATCGACAAGGGTCACCGACACCTGGTATGCACAGATAGGCTCCGCGGTGGCATTCTGAAAGCTTTTTTCCGTGTAGCCTGGTTCCCATAGAGCTTCTTCAGAGCCGCCTTCCACGGCACGTGCCCCGCTTCGGAGCAGTCCAGTCTAAATTGACATGTGACGCCTCCAAAGATAGCGCGGAGGCGCGATGGCCACCCCCGGTATCAGAGAAGTAGATGTGAATCTGCCGCGGTCGCTGGTGAACCCTCTCCTCAGCCATTGGAGTTTGCCAGGACACGACAATGCAGAACGCCCTGCTACCAGGGGCTAGGCTTCTGCCTCAGAGCCACCCGTCCGGCTGAGTCTCCTGCAAAGGGGAGGGTAGGACTGAGTGCAGGTATGCTGGAACGATGCTGCGGCCTCAGTGGCAGCTTGTACCTGGTATCAAGTAGGAGATGAAGAACCCGCATATCATCACGCCGTATGAGACTGTTTTCACAATGCTTCACCTCGGAGTGGGCTCGTCCTGTCTGGCTTTGGACTCATCCGACGAAGAGTTTTCCTGCGTCGAGTGGCATTCGGCAGAACACAGCACCTCAAAAGCAAGACCTTGCTCAAGTTACATGTCGTGGGTTCATCATGTCGGGGCGGGTAAAGCCCGAACCTTCTCTTCCACCCCAACGTCGGGCACCTGCTGAATTGTCCTGAAAAGTGTCGATGGTCATACGAGGTGGTAAGCGTGAGAGCAGACAGGTGTCCTTGAAGGATTGTCGAAGAACGTAGCCAGTGCACTGGCTGATTCCTGCTGCAAAAGGAAGCCTATGCGAACACGCGCAGGTAAGTCCCTCAGCGACGCTTCGGTCATGCTTCGAGCTTGGTTGGGAAGAAGCCAGTAGCCTGAGCCTCGCACGACGTCCGCAGGGGATTCAAAGCGAAAAGTGCTCCGGGCTCGCTGCTGATCTCGTTGCTCTTTCGCCTCAGAGGAACGATCACAGACCCCCTGTTGCACGTAAAGGATCTACCATTGCCTGAAGACTTCTCTACACCAATCAACGGCCCAAAGAGCTCCATGCATCTGCTGTCACGGGTTCGTTAATGCACAAACACATCGAAGCACAACGAAAGAACTGCAAATCTCGCCTTCATACAGTTCCTATGATAGTGCCACGCGAACATGCCGAGAGCAGGGCTTTGTGTGCAGCTTCAAACCCTCGCACCAAACAGCCCTTCCACCATGCCTGTTGCAGGCTCATGGCAAGCGGTCGACAGAATCGAATGGACACCGATTTCTGGCTTTCGTGTGAGCTCGTCGATACCACTGTTGATACTCAGACTCAGCAGCCGCCTGGATCAGAAGCACGGCTCGCAGGCGATGCTTCTCGTTGTCGAGGTGCTCCTCGCTTCAAACAGCCTGTTTGTTATGTCCACGCCTGATGGAGGTTGTTCCATGTTGAGGTTCTGTGTCAAGTATCTTCCAAGCCATAAGCCTGCCTCAAGGAGTCGTTTTGAAGCATGGACTCTATTCTTAATACTGCATGGGAGAGCAGTCGTTGTACAAACCGAAGCGCGGCAAGCTGCCTTGGAGAAACCCCGCATTGTTCCGGTTGAGACTGCCATCGACTGGGCCCCAGGCTTCTCTTTCGATTGCACTGATTTGCGCTGTAGCGACTAGAAGGACTTCGCTGAGCCACTCTTTCCGTGAGCTCCTGAAGGCCTCTGCGGCTCTGCGGCGTGCCCCGCCTTGCTGTTCTGCCTCTTTTCGGTGCTCGGTTCTGCGAGCGATGTCACAGCTGCATTCTGTCTGATTCTATCCATTCGGAGGATGCCGTGATTCCCCTTTGAGTGCAAGGGTGCGCGCATGTCCACGGTGCACGGTGCACCCTTCAATCAAGGTGGTGAAGGGCCCTTGGCAACTAACTATCCCAGCCTCCGGCTTGCACCATGACCTCGCGACGACTCGCTTCTTGCCCGGTGCACCTTCACGCACTGTCCGACCACGTCGTCCCACATTCAGCTCTGGCAGACTTCTCGAGCATCTGAAGCGTGCAACATGTAACATCCTTTGCGATCTGATTCTGTTGCAAGTCATCAAAGGCTCTGTGACGTGTAAGCCTTATGAGCCCAATGACCGTAGAAAAAGAAACTATCCGCCCAAAAGTGCGATTATCTACACGCTGCATGCACAATCAGACCGGGCAACGATAGCCCGTTCCGGGCGTGTGACAGCAGCAAGATTCCCTACAGTGATTCGAGACCATTGCCGGGTGTTCGGAGATTTGTGTTGGGGCTGCAGACTAGAAAGAGTCGCTTTCTTTGTATATATATATATACACACACGACATATATATATATATATATATATATGTATCCATACATATATACATACACATATAGATATACATATATATATATATATATATTTATTTATTTATATATTTATATTTATTATATTTATTTATACATATATATATATATGTATATACATATACACATACAACATGGGTGTATGTACGCATGTGTATGTATATGTATATATATTAATATATATATATATATATATGTATATGTATGTATGTATATATATATGTATGCATACAAGATAAGTTAATCTACTCTAAATGCACTCTATATATATAACAACATTGTCATA